GAGCCCGCGGGTTCAAGACCCGCCTGGGCAACTTGGCAAGACCTCATCTCTACGATAAATCAAAACTTAGCCAGGCGTGGTAGCACGCGCCTGTAGTTTTGGAAGGCTGAGACGGAAGGATCACTAGAGCCCAGCAGGTTGAGGCTGCAGTGGCCAGGAGTGGCCACTGCACGCCAGTCTGAGTGACAGAGTGAGACTCCAACTCAAAAAAAAAAAAAATTAAATTTTAATAAACAGAAAACTTTATAGTAATAACAATTGCTATAAGTTACTGAGTACTTCCTGTGTGGCAGGCACTGAACTAATTCAGTGTATCTGAATCATCTTATTCTGCATAACATTGTAGGTAGCTATTTATTATTATTGTCATTTACATATGAGTATAAAGTGATTAAATTGTTCAAGACCACATAGTTTTGTAGTGGCAGAGCTGGGCTTTGTACCAACTTTGAAAGCTCTTGATCACTGTGTTGTTCTGCCTTACAGGTTAGTAAAGATGTTTTGTTGTGAACTATGCCATCAAATCACAAGGGATTCATAGTTGGCTATAAACTTAAGTATTTATATAAAATTTTAAATATTTTATTTTCTGATTATTGGCAGAATAGGATATTTGTTAAAATTCTAATATATACCAGTTCTCTGAATTTTAGAAGAATAGACAAAAATTTTTAATGGAAAAGGATTTATCACTATGTAAACTCATACTTATACATTTTCTACAGGATTAATTTTTTAAAAATTATTAATATGTATATTTCAAAGTCAAGCACAGTGGCTCACGGCTCTAATCTTAGCTACTTAGGAGGCTGGGGCAGGAGAATTGCTTGAGACAAGGAGTTCAAGACCAGTCTCGGCAACATAGCAAGACCCTGTCTCTAAAAAAAAAAAGTACATTTTAGAAAATTTAGAAAATAGAGGGAAAAAACCTGCCCATAATTCTTCCTTGCCAGTAAAACCACTGTTGACATTTAAATGTTTCCTTCCTCTCCTTATTGTTTCTTTTTGCATTTTTTATAGTTAATGCATATAGCTTTATTTCTTGCCTTTCACAGTAGTAACATGTAATTTTTTAATAGTTTATAATGTGATTTTATAAAATAATAAAAAAATTTGTGACTCATAATTTTATGAGGAAATGTGCTAATCTTAAGCATTTTTTGAAATTATACTAGTAGTGCCAGGCATGGTCGCTCATGCCTGTAGTCCAAGGTACTTGAGAGGCTGAGGTGGGAGGGTCACTTGAACCCAGGAGTTTGAGGCTATAGTGAGCTGTGATTGTGCCACTGCACTCTAGCCTGGGTGACAGAGTGACCTTGTCTTTTAAAAAAAAAAATTAATAAGTAAACCCAAAAGTAATGCACACTAATTAAAAAAATTATGCATTACAGAAGTGTACCAGACTCAAAGCCACTGTTGCCCTCCTCCTATTTGTATGATTTTTTCTTTTTTTGAGTCAGAGTCTCACTCTGTTGCCCAAGCTGGAGTTCAGTGGCACACTCACAGCCACCGCAGCCTTGACCTGCTGGGCTCAGACAATCCTTCCACTTCAGCCTTCCAAGTAGCTGGAACTACAGGCATGTGCTATTACAACTGACAAAATTTCTTGATTTGTCGTAGAGATGAGGTCTCACCAAGTTGCCTGGACTGGTCTTGAACCCATGGACTCAGGCAATCCTCTCACCTTGGCCTCCCACAGTGCTGGGATTCTAGGCGTGAGTCATCGTGCCTGGCCTTGTATGATTCTTCCCCCCGCCCTGTATGATTCTTAATGTGTATATTTTTTTATTAGAAAGCATAGATAAGTTTTGGCTAAGTTGTAGGAAAAAACTGATCAAAACTGAAAGCAAATTCTATTTAGCATCAGCAGCAAGTTAACACCGATTACTCACCATATGTTGTATGTATAACTTACTTGTCTGAGTGTCTTTAGATTTATCTTCTCGGTAGCAGGGACCAAGCATCACTCGTACTGTTCACTGCAGATACCACGTGTGTGCGTAGTGAAGAGTGCTGTGAACTGGAATGTGTAGCTCTACTGTCTTGTTCAGCTTTGTTGTGTTTTGACTGAGTGATTAGGACAAGTTTCTTCCTCTTTCTGTGTCTCCATGCAGATAGTTATCTGTAAAATCAGAGGCTTGAGCTAGATAGTCCCTCCGGGCTTCTTCTAATTCTAAATATTTGTAGTTTTTAAGTCAGTTTCCATATAGGCCAGAAGTAATTTCCATAGCTGCTACTTGTGTTTCATATTTACATAATGCTTATGATTTGAAATATATTACACACACACACACACACACACACACACACGGTTATGTAACTACATAAGCAATTTGATTATCTAGCTCAGATTTCAGTGCGTATTCATTGAACAGTAGTTGCAGATGTTCACTGTATGTCAGTACACTGCCACATATTACTGACAGGGAAAGAATCTGAGTATTACTGTCCAGTAAGGCCCCATAGTGATGATTTTCAAATAGTTAAATAATCCTGTTTTTAGACATAGTGGGACCCCAAAAAACCCAGAATTCATTTAATAAAAACTGAGTATTTATTCTTACATGTTTAAACTCCAGTCACCTTCAAAGTGCTCTCTGTTTGATGCACTACACCTAACAAGACGCTTTTTCCACTGCTCAAAACAGTTTTTTAACTTGTCCAGTTTGATGCCTTTTAGTGCTTCTGCTGTCTTTTGTTTCACCTCTTCCACATTAGCAAAACATTTCTCTTCAAGGACATTTTTCATCTGGGAAACAAAAAATAAGTCACTTGGGATGTGATCAGGTGACTAGGGAGGGTGGGGCACGGGGTCATGCTGCTTTTTGTCAAAAACTGCTGAACACTCAGCGTGGTGTCGGCAGGTGAGCTCATAAATTACCCATCATGAAATGGGCAAATGTGTTGAAAGAATCTTCAAAAAAATTCGCTGAAGCCGAATGCAGCCCCTCACAACAATGCTAGCTAGTACACTGATGAGTTCCTAGAACACTTATCTCGTGGGGGATCCCTGTACTACAAAGGACCCACCCTCCAAAAGATAATTCCAGGTTTTTTGGGCTCCACCTTATACTTGGCATCTTTTTGCCACAGATTCAAAATGCAGTGTGTTACCCAGGCTGATCCCAAAACTCTTGGGCTCAAGTACTCCACCTCAGAGTAGCTGGAATTACAGTCACATGTCACCACACCTAGCTATAGTTGTTTTGACTTCAATTTTGTTAAAATGTATCACATTTGCATTAAAAAGTCATGTTTCTAAAATATAGTGATAGAAATAAAATATTTCAAAGCCAACTTGTAATTAATAAGTGAAAAATATAAGGTAAAGCCTGATGGAAATGAAGAAAGACATTCTTCCCCACCTCTCCTCCCACCCATCTTCTTCAAACTAGATCTTGTTCCATAGTCTATTTAGAGACTTGGCAAGAAAAATTGGGGGAAATTAAAGGGTAATATGGTACTTGACAAGATGAAAGTGTAAATGTTTAGTTCCATGTTTTAGTTCCATGTTTTAGAAAAATTGTCAGGAGTGGAGGTGCATTATAATCAGCAGTTGGGATTTCAAAATTGCCATTGCCTGGGCTGCACACCTGGGAGTTCTGATCTGGGTGTGGCATGGGCCCCAGGTGTATATCCTGACAAAACGTCACAGGTATGTTACCTTTGAACAGGAACCTGGGTTTACATAAAACATTTTCTCGCTAGGCTGTTGAATTTCTCATGAATCATTTGATCTTTGTGTTTCTTTATGGGTTTGTCATGAACGCCATGCTTCATGGGGTATAGAATTAAGCTGGAGTTATGACTTTTTCCTCTATCCTTCTTTATATATATACTAAATACTCTTCTGATTTCAGGCTAAGTTTACGGTGAAGAAATCAGAAGATGAAGACGACGCCTCCAAAGACACTTACATTATCGAATGCCAAGGAATTGGGGTGACAAATCCACATCTGTAGGGGATTCATTCTTCAATGATGCCTCAATGATGTATTGCATTAATTCATTTTGTAAATACTGTAAGGCAGTGAGTAGGAGGTAACTTATCAAAGGATCTGACCTAAAGTACATTGTTCTAGATTTGCTGAGAATGTTTCATAAAATTAGTCTTATTTAGAGGATCCCTTGACATGGACAAGGAAATCTGAGAGTTGGCGTATATGTATAATACCTGATCTCAATATTAAAGGATTGAAATAAAATATTCTTTACACCCAAAATAAGTGTGGTTTTCTCTTTTATGTAGTACATTAAGTCCGGAATATAGAGTTGATCTGTAATTTGTGCATAGTTCTGATCTCTTTGCTGAAATCTCATCTAAAGCGTAAAAAGGCAACTTTATGCAAATATACTTGTGTCAACATTAACATTTGATAAGCATCATCTCATTGTAATGTGTACTTTCTGCAGGTGGGCACTTGGTAAATGTTTGTTGAATTTTGAATCTGTCGAATATGCTTTGGAAGTGAGTTGCAAAATTCCCACCCTGGGAGTTTTGGCCAAAGACAGCCCCAGATAAGCTTTTGTTTGGGTTGTAGTATCAACAAATACTTGAGTGCCTTCAGGACGGAATGTGCTTTCATAGTTCTTCACTGTCTCACACCCAGCTTCCACCTTGGGATTATTTCCTGGTCCCTGTGGGCAGTTAAGGTTGTGACTCAGATGAAACCAGTTTGTCATACCATCCCATTGTCTTACTACAGTACAGTGAGGAATTCATTAAAACAGGGGTCTTGGCCAGGTGCAGTGGCTCACACCTATAATCCCAGCACTTTGAGAAGCCTAGGTGAGAGGATTGCCTGAGCCTGTGGGTTTGAGACCAGCCTAGGCAACTTGGCAAGACCTCGTCTCTACAATAAATCAAGAAAAATTAGCTGGTGTGATGGTACATACCTGTAGTTCCAGCTACTTGGAAGGCTGGGCGGAAGGATCTCCTGAGCCCAGCAGATCGGGGCTGCAATGGCCTTGCTCATGGCCACTGCTCTCAAGCCTGAGTGGCGGACTGAGACCGACAAAAAAAAAGTGGGTCTGTCTTGGACATCATCTGGTGATGATGAAAACGGTCTAAGATACGGATCCAGAGGGTGGTCTGTAACACATGCGGGGAGTTGAGTCTCTGTAGAACAGAAGAAGATAAACAGTTACTCCATGGACATAATCATCATTCTTGCCCCTGTCAGTGATTTCTCTGACTTGGGACAGTTGAATTCGATTTGCTATAGAGATGATGATGATGACAGTGTTGTTAGCTGTTTATATTTTCACAGAGTGGATGCATTTTAGAGGTTTATTACTGTAACAGGTGAGATGTGAGCTATTTTTAGAAGAAAACTACACTTGTAGTTGCTGGAGGAATTCTGATAAGTTAAGGGTCTTCAGACTGAATGATTTTTGCTGCTTCTGATGAGGTGTGCCAGCAGTATTAAAGAGGCAGACTGGAGTGCAGGGCCTGGGAGTCAGAGTGAGAGTTTGACATTTGGCAGTGTGCATGGTGAGTTCATGATTAATCTTGGCTTGGTTGGTCCCTGTTCCTGAATCTCAGCTTAGGGAAAACAAAGAAATTTTTGGTGAGTTCCACAAGTGACTTGAATTTTTATTTTTCCAAAGAAAATTATATTCCTATTTCAATTCTGTACCTAAAATTCCATTTCAGTATGTTTGTTTGTGTTAGACTATCAAATACAAGTGATTGTGTTGACTTGACACTCTGTGTACAAAAGGCTTAAAAATATTCTTTTTTTTTGGAGTTGGAGTCTCACTCTGTCACCCAGACTGGAGTGCAGTGGCCACTTCCGGCCACCGCAGCCTCAACCTGCTGGGCTCCGGAGATCGTTCTGCCTCAGCCTTCCAAGGAGCTGGAACTACAGGTGCGCACAACCATGCCCAGCTAATTTTTGATTTATTGTGGAGATGAGGTCTCACCAAGTTGCCCAGACAGGTCTCGAACCCGCGGGCTCAGACAATTCACTCACCTCAGCCTCCCAAAGCACGGGATTACAGGCTGAGCCACCGAGCCTGGCTTAAAAATATAATTTAAACCAGTTGCCATCACACATGGAAATTCGTATCACTTGAGTTTGAGTTTCGCAAAACCTTTCCATAAATTTCAGGTTTGCAGATTTCAGTTTTTAGGGAATTGATTTACAAATTTTGCTGCTTAAATATTCACTTCCTCCTAAAATTGAACTGCCTTAAGTCGGGATAGGGCTTTTGTGGGTTCTCCTTTTAGCTTGTTTTTCACAGTTGCCATTCTTCTTCTTTACAAAAGAAAAGTTTATGTATTCATCTTAATCCTGCGATGATACATTTCCCCAGAGTATCAGAAAATCTCTAGGACACTAAGTAAGGGGACAGTTGGAAATACGAGTTTCTGAGAAGCCCACTCAAACTGATGTGCAAGCCTGAAACTTACTTGTATATTTTGCCTGATTGTATATGAGGAGGAGTAAGCTTCATTGCTTACTTTCAAAGAAACAATATTACTTTTTTTTTTTTTTTTTTTGAGTAGGAGTCTTACTCTGTTGCCCAGGCTGGAGTGTAGTGGCACACCCACGGCAACCACAGACGTGACCTGCTGGGCTCTGGCGATCCTTCCGCCTCAGCCTTCCATGTAGCTGGATCTACAGGTGTGCCCTTCCACACCCAGCTTATTTTTTTATTTTTTGTAGAGATGAAGTCTCGCCAAATTGTCCAGGCTAGTCTCCAACCCCTGATTTCAGGCAGTCCTCTCGTCTTTACCTCCCAAAGTGCTGGGATTACAGGCATGAGCCACTGTGCCCAGCCCAGTATTATACCTTTAAGTAGAATTTTTTTTCTGGTTATTAGGAGAAACATTTTTGTTACTTTGCCAAAAGGCTAGAATGTTTACATTATTTTCTGGGAGTTTATTACAGGGTAGAAATGTGTAATTCTTTGCTCTCACTCATCCCTACCTTGTGGACTGTTTTTTGTTTTTGTTTTGTTTTTTTGAGTTGGAGTCTCACTCTGTCACCCAGACTGGAGTGCAGTGGCTGCTCCTGGCCACCGCAGCCTCGACCTGC